TATATATATATATATATGTATGTATGTATGTGTATATATATATATATATATATATATATATGTATATATGTATAGTAGTAGTAACAACTGTCAAATCAAATAAAGAAAGTACACATCAATTATATTTTAACCATTATTATTCTCAGTTTTCAAATTTAACTGGATGGATTATAAATAATACATAGAAATACATAAATAAATGTTCTTCTCATTTCAAGTAAAATAACGGCTGGATCAAAGAATAACTGACATAACAGAAAGCTTTTGAAAAATGTGCATCTTAAAATAAAGTAATTCATTTTAGAAAAATTCATTTCACTGAATTATCCTGCAGCTTTAAATTCAGTTCATTCAGGTGTGAAGTGATGTCAATCAAAAAAGCCACAATATTATATTTTTCTCATCTTCTAAAAAGAGAAATCAGTGAGCATGATCTTTATCTGTAGTTATTAAACCACTTGTTTCAGCTCTATTCTCTCTGGTAACATCACTGTTGGTCAGTGAATTCATGAGTTAGGATTCTGATCATATTGGGCTCTTAGATTTATTTTCTGTGACTTCATTCAGATGTGAGTCGGTACGTTTGTTCAAAAGAGTTGTGCTTTGTCTCGTAGTGATGCTTCACATTACCGCTTTTATTCATCGTCATAGTCTCTGAACATGTGAGACATACTGGTTTTAAACTGTCCGTGGGAAGAATGAACCTATCAGAGTCTGTTCATTCTTGGTTAAAGAATCTGCTCTCTCTGGTCTCTCTGACCACTTTTCTCTTTTTGGAGAACGTCATGTGAAATAACTTCTCTGACTCACGTAATTATTCTCCTACTCTTCGTTCTCTCTCCTCGTCTCTCCCGTGTGTTTACATCTCACTTGAATCAGGAAACTTGTCAGAATACCCATATTTGATTGGGTGAGCTGCATCACGTGATGTGATTTGCATCGCTGAACAAGTGCTGTAAAGGCTGAAAAAGCTGCGCCGGTAGAAGCGTTCCGTCAAAATTTAATAATTCTCAATTATCTATCGGTTTTAGGTCCTGGGTCCGGATACAACGATGTCCGGGTCCGGATCCGGACCGCGGTCTGCCTATTAGGGACCCCTGACCTAGACTGTTGGTTAAAATGACATGGTCTTTGTCAAAAGCGGCACTTAGGTTTAAAATAATTCAAATAGAGGTCTCCCCCCTGTCTGCTGGTAAAAGGAGATCATTGGATACCTTGAAGAGGGCGGTTTCTGTGCTATGTAAAGCTCTAAAACCTGACTGAAACTTCTTAAAGACGTTATTAAGACACTTAAAAGCTAGTTTCAAAATTGGCTTTAAATTGCTGAGAACAGAGGGATCAAGATTAGGTTTCTTTAAAAGAGGTCGGACCACAGCATGTTTAAGATTGGATGGAAAAGTTTATATTGCTAATGAGTTATTAAAAATCAATAAAATACTGGACCCAACTGTGTCAATAACCTCTAAGAAATTTAAAGGGTGCCTTGTGCGTTGGTATCAGAATCAGAATGAACTGACCGCAGTCTTTCGAAAATGTGTTTATCGCGCAAGTTGACGTTGCGATAAATCACGATAAGTAAAACATCAGCAACATAGGCATATAAATGTATCTGCATCTGACTTAAATTGAGTATTTTTAATTTGGCAAAAGATTTGACGTTATTTCCCCTTTTTTGATAGCTGTCCTTATTATATTCTTTTTCGAGCAAGTTGTTGCATACAAAATAAATGATAGCTGTTTCAATATGATGCACTCTAAAGTACATTTTCCGGGCTTTTTTAATGAATGGTTTTAACTTGAAATGGAGTATTTTTATAAAGCGTTATTGCTATTTTCTGTATACTAGGCCGTGAGCTATGAATCTGGTGAGTAATGGAACGACATGGGAAGGGACAATTGTTCCCCCGGGTTGTCCATAGGCTTGGTGCAGTTCTATTGGCCAGTGAGAAGGCACCAATTAAGGGTACAAAAATCTGATGACTTTTAATTGAAAGACTGTAACATGATTGGCTGCTGCCTTACTCTGCACTTGAATACTGCACTTGATACTTGAGTATTTATGGCTAGCTTTAGGTATATGGAAGGAAAAAAACTGTCCCAACATGGGTATACTGTGTATACCTGCATAGATCGTATGCACCGTGACACTTCTGCTGAAGAATAAGAAAAATAGGACAAAAATATAGAAATCTAAATCGACAAAACTAGACTAAATTACTTAAACTGAACTTTTCCTTTGTAAAAAGGTACAAACATTATGCCCATATTTGATTTATCATAGCTCACTGTTTTTAATTCTGTGAAATGAATTATATTTAAATAGTTTATTTTGTGCATATAGGCTATATGTGTGTGGATTCGTATTTATTCAGATTCATTTTTTTCTAGCTGGTAACTCCCGACATGGTTCTGATCCCGGAGCGCTACCTGGATGTGGAGGACAGCGCCCCTCTTAGCCCAGAGGAACAGAAGGAGAAGCAGAAAAAACTGGAGCGGATCAAGACCCTCATTGCCAAATCAAAGTGGGTTTTGACTCAGACTTAGATTTATTAGTCACTTTTCTATGCTCCTCACATTTGTTTCAAGACATTATAAAAGCATACTATTGTTTCAATAAAGCACGCCTTTCTTGCTCCTTCCTTTACAACTAAAATGGCTGATATTCCTCTAAACTCTAGAGGAATATCAGCTGTGGTAAACAGTCATTACCACTGACTCTTTGTCAGTGGTAATGAGGGAACATGCCACCCAGTGCAACGGTTAGTTCAATAGTTTTAGAAGCACATCAGATAATTGATCATTTGCTTTTGCCATCTTTATCGGCAGAACTGCTCTAACTTTTCACCTTTTGAACAACAGAAATAAATACAACATCAGAATACATCAATTAAAAGCAACCACTAAAATTGAATGTGACAATGAAGTTTAACTTTAACATCAGACATGAATACAAGCTTTGTTGTCTACACTGAATATGCTGCTATATACACCTACCTCATGTATATTCACCTTATGCTGCCCCGCCTATTTTTTTCACTTCGGGTTTAAAAGCATTTGTATTAGTTCTTTGGGTTTAGCGTTGTTGACAATGAATGAACTCTGAAACATCTAGCAGCTCCACTGTTTCATCAGCCATCAGGACTGGGAGGATGCCTTTTAAACATGGGGACACTTTCAATGACTTTGTACTGTCTCTTGGAGTAGATGGCTCCACGAGGAGGAACTAGAATACCGAAGCATCAGTTCACCTGCGGGATGGACTCGGCATAGAACAGCACATAAGACAATAGTTTAGTAACTACTCTCACTCTCAGAAGGGCAGACACAAGTCAACCGGAGAGTTGAACTTTATAAATAATAATTCATTCAGAGAATTAAACCAACCTGACTGTCTGTTTGTCTGATAGCTAGCTGCTAGCTGGCTAGATATCTAGCTATCCCCAAATGTGTGGCTCTTCATTTAATTTTTGAATACCCCATGTTTAAACATGCAGTGGGCCTGCGTCTACCCTTTTGGCAGTAAGAGTAATTGTAAAACACTGTCACATGGAGCCAACTGGCCATCTCGCACAGCCAGCAGTTCCTCACAGCTCCAAAAACATTGGGTTGAAATTCCAAATAGCTCTTATTTGGATAAACCGATCACATATGACGAATCTGAACGGTTACTATCTCACCAGAACAAATATTAATAGAGCAATAGAACCATTTGCTTGCAAAATAAAATCAGATACAACTTTAAGGGTATAAATAACCACCATGCTCTTTGCGTCTCCTTACTGACCCACCGTCAGTTTGCAGAACATGGTTCCTCTCCTGGACGGACCGGTGGAGAGTGGAGCTCCAGTCAGTTCCCAGCAGCAGTTGCAGGAGCAAGAGAAGCGAATAGAGATCTCCTGTGCTCTGGCTGCTGAGGCCTCTCGTCGCAGCCGCCTTCTCTCCGGTGAGGACTATGCACACGGCTGCACGTCACTAACTCTCTCCCTCTAACTGCGTACTGTGATCACACAGCCCAGCACAAGCTACACTACTTCCTCCCAACACCTCATGCACATTTCTGAACATTCCTCCAGGGTTCACTCAAGTCGAATCTGAAAACTGATGCTGATCTACATATGTCGCAAGGGAACATAATTCATTGCTTTAGCCTCCTTATTGTATTCTTTTGACCTTTGACTGTACCAGTGGTTCTCAACTGCTCTGGCTGCGGGACCCACCGTCACCCGTTAATGACAAGCTGCGACCCAAATTATATATATATATATATATATATATATATATATATATATATATATATATATAATCAAGAAGTCTAAAATAAATTACGTAACAGAATTAATTTTAGTAAAGTTATTTTCACTGAATTGCTCTGCAGCTTCTGCCACAATATTATATTTTTCTCATCTTCTGAAAATAGAAATTAGTAGAAGAAGTCACCTATATGAGTCTGTCCAGTCAGGGTCTAATGACTCTGGTCTCTCTGGCCATTTTTCTCTTTTGAAAATCGTCCTATGATTTGACTTTCACAACTCACACTTCAATAGTCCTGCTCTGCTCTCTATATCCTCGTCTCTCCCCCATGTGTCACGGTGTGTGTACATCTCACTCAAGTCAGGAAACTTGTCAGAATACCCATATTTGATTGGCTGAGCTTTATCACGTGATCCAACTCTGGAGGGAAAAGCTTGAGAAAGACCCTCCTCCAACTGTCATGGGAATACCCCCTACTGAAAACCTTCCCCCTGGCCCAGAAGCACCATGGGCTCAATGGAAAACACTAAACCGCCTCAGAACAAGAACGTGACGATCAAAAGCTGCTCTGGTCAGATGGGGCTACAAGGCTGGCCCAACCACATGTGAATGTGGAGAAGCAGACCATACTATGGAGCACTGCCTTGTCTGTCCTCTACTACCCAACCCTTGCAACTCAAAAGACCTTGCAGTGTTCAATAACAATGCAAAGGACTGTGTAAAGAAATGGGAAACTGTCATATAACCATCACGCTTCAGTGAAACGAAAAGAAGATCACGTGATGTGATTCACAACGCATTGGTCGGTGCCGTAAATGCTGGAATAATTCCGCTGCATAAAAAATGACCTTCAGAATAAAATCACTTTCAACTTTTTTTTTTGTCAGGCAAAGACCCACTGAATACGGGTCTGCAACCCACTTTTGGGTGGCGACCCACCAGTTGAGAATCACTGGACTATACTATACAGCCAGCTTTGTGTCTCTTTCATCATTGGTTTAGAGTCACTGGTCTTACATTAATAGGTCAGTTCTGGTGCTGAACTCTAAAGGCCAGGGCAGGTATGGGTTTGTAGAACTTAACCCTAAGCAGGACACTGATTTCAGGTGCACTTATTTTCAGCTCCACCTCCAAATTAGATCTTTGTGGTATTCCTAGTGGTCAGCCTTAAGGTTGGTATGATGTTTTATGTATGTCTGTACACTCATACACAATGTGATGTAATAACTGCCTAATTTACCACTGAAGCATAATTAATCTACATCAAAGCAGTTACAGATGTTAATCACTTACAAGTCATCTTATAATTCAGTAGTGCTGAGGACTCAAACATGCATAGCTGAGCCCAATCTGGACTGGCATTTAAAGGGTACATGGTGATCCAGGGAAACCAGAATGAACTACTTTATTACCATTAAAACCCAGAGAGGTTACACATCGTCACCCACTTACCTCACTGTTCTGTGTGCACTCCTCCCACCTGCCTCCATCTCATTCCAGCCCAGTGCGCTCCCAGTCCTGCCACCTCCCCTACCACCCCGGCCCCTCCCCCTTCCTCTGCTGAATTCCCCAACTCGGCCCACATCATGAAGGCGTGAATCATACAAGGTGAGTCCATCTCCCGTCCTGTTTAGACCCTGTGCGTTTCACTCTCTGGGACTGCTTTTCATTCAATCTACTTGGGTTTATGATATGATACATTGGGTTTGACCAATATATGTTTTGTTATGTTAATACATTTAAGCATATTGGGAAAACATAATTTACCTAAATCCTTGAGTTTGTGCAATTATCTTGAACATAAATTTAGACTTGCTGCTGCTGGTGGGTCCATTCTCAAAATTCTCAACACAAGCTCTAATTTGAACATTTCCAAATGTTTTTCAACCATCTCTCACAACAACGTAGCAATATCCACAAAGGACAAAGACACTTACCTAACACTTATGCTACATCCACACTAATACGTTTAGTTTTGTTTCGTTTTAGAAGTTTTATTTTTCAGATTTAGTTACAAGGCTGCGAGTCTCTCTCTCTCTCTCTCTCTCTCTCTCTCTCTCTCTCTCTCTCTCTCTCT